AGAGTAACATAATATGTTACCATCACATAGCGATTTCCAATGCATAATGAGTCTACAAAGTAACAAATGAAGGCAACTATGTTACCACACCTATGACACTACCCACTATGAAGGTAGTAACATAGACTAGTAACATATGTATGTTACTAGTCTAAGTTACTCCCCACTATGACCAGCCTAACAGCCCAGCAGGCCTACCACCACCTCTACTGCAAGCTTCAGGATATATGAGACAAAAATAAATACAGACGGCGATGACCACCGGTGCATGCGCATACATCCTACAACTACGTATACATACACACGGGTACAGCAGCATCCCTTTCCCGGGTACAGCAGGCACAGATGAAGAAACAAGACGACAGTGCTCGGAGTTGTGTTTTCCTAGCCTATATGGATCCCGTGAGCAAGGCCTGAATCGACGCCGAGCTAGACGAAGCGATGAAAAGTTTGGCAGCCGCTGTCGCGGACGGCTCGCCATCGCCATGCATGCCATGCTAGATGCTACGTGTACAGGGATTCACGCAGGGGCGGAGCTACGTACAGCTTGCCGGTGTCACTGGCACCGGGTCCAATTTGCACTTGCTTAATATAATCCATTGATTTAGTGTGTAGGCCATTTATTGTTTGACATGTAGGCATATGTTCTTCTATCTGAACACCGGGTAATTTTCAGTCTAAGTCAGTCCCTGGATTCACGTACGTCTACGCTTCACATGGTTTTCGTCCATATTTTACCATGTCACGGACACATGGAGCTGCGATGTTGCCACGGCAGGCAGGCGACACGGCGTCAAAAGGCTGGAGACGCCGCAGGGCTGGGGGCGATGCAACGGCCGAGAATAATTGGAGAGATTTGTTTGTCTCGGGATGCATGGACGGTCCGACCCGAGTGCCATGCATGCTACTCCAAGCCGAAGAATGGTACGTAAAGAGCATCTACACGTACCGGATAGCATATCTGGCTCCTCAAAGGTATGTGGACGCGTCCGGATGCTTGCGCGGTCACTGACCTGACAACCCAAATTTCCTAGCCAGCATTCGAATACCTCATAATTGAAGCCTTAAAACCATACCAGGCATACAAAAAAAAACATCTACATACTGTAGATCAATTAAACCTAAATTACACTACTCGTTGTCATCGGAGATGTCCACGATGAAGCACCGGTTGGCCTCCACATAGGCCTCATCCTGGATGGACTTCAAGATAACGGTCTGCTCTGCCATCTGCGACGATTGGGCGACCTTGAACTCCGTCATGGCGTAGCCCGCAACCGGCGTCGGCTCCTCCCGGCTCTACCGCGTCCTCCTCCTCCAAATCCGCCACCTTCATGGGCTCCGGCTGTTGCTCCTCCTCCGGCTCCAGCGAGTCTTGAAGCAGGCCGACTGCGGTCCAGGCGACGCACCTCGTTCGGATCTCCTCCAGCATCTGAAAGCGTTGCTCCGACGTTAGCATAGCGTACGTGGTCTTCTTTTGTCGGGCCATGGCAGAGACGGATGACGAGGAAAAAAGGAGGCGAAGAGGGAGAGAAGTGGATGGGTTCGGGATGACGGTCTGGAGAGGGAGAAAGCGGATGTGGCTAGGACTGGGGACCCCGTCCGGGTTAAATAGCCGAACTTTGGCCCCCAGGCGGCGAGCCAGAGCGGCGCCACGTGGCGTTCATATCCTCACAAAGGAGACACCCATCAGACCGTTGGGTTTCTGGGCGATTTTGCGTGGGATCCAAGCGTTAGTCCAACGTGATGGACGCATCCAGACCGTCTCATATCCATCCAAATTTTGAACCAAATATAAGGAGAGCCAGTCAGCTCGGATGTTATGAGACCGATTTGTGTCGTCCGGTTGGAGTTGCCCTAACGCCTGCCCAATTTTCAATTGTGCTGGTCCGGCCGATGAAATCTCTCCTCCTGTCGTCCTGGCACATGCCCATGCAGGCTAAATTTTGTGTTTTGACCCTTTTCTAAGACTTACCCGAGATTTAACCCTAGTTTGAAAAAAATTCGATATCTGACCATTCTGCTACCGCCAGGGACCTTGGCGGTAGGGTTGCATGCCCTACCGCCAAAAACCTCCTAAGTATTGACCACAGTGCGTGCTCGTGCCTACCGCCAAGCACATTGGCGGTAGGGTTGTGCAGGCTACCGCCAGCCCGTTGGCGGTAGCGACGTTTCCTACCGTCAAAGTCTTTGGCGGTAGGCTGTTAGACCCTACCGACATGGACTCTAACGGTAGTAAAATGGTCAGATCTCGAAAAAAAAATAAACTAGGGTTAAATCTCGAATAGATTTCAGAAAAAGGTCAAAACACGAAAATTTGCCGTCCACGCACATGCGAACCGTACGTGCCGCCAATGATCTCCTCCCGTTCGTCTCAGCGTCGTCGTGCGACCCCACACCACACCACACAGCCTGCACATAGCGCCCGCGGCTAGAACACAAAGAGAATCAAGAGGCGCCTTTCCCTCTGGACGTACTCCGTACGGGCGCGGGATAATAAACGCGAGGGCTAAAACCAATTAGCCCACGGGGCCTTCCAAGTAGATTGGTACACGGGAGAAAAGGCTCGGCCTCATCTTTTTCACCCGATGCCGACGGAATGCGGTACCACTCCACTGACTGCCAGCCTAAGCTTGCCTAGCCCGATCCATGGCGGTTTTCGTATTCTCGCGCCAAAACGCGATCGTCCTCCATCAGTAGATTGGCCCTGGCCGGTCCAGGCAACGGCCGCTCCTCCCTCCACCTCCACTACGGCCCAAGCGCTGGACGCCAACGGTGACCCAGATCTCTCTGTTTTAAGCCACATGCATGGCTCCCTACCCCTATCCCTGCCTGGGTCTGTGATGTGTCTGTCTACCAGACCATCTAGTTTCTCGGCTACACGATACAACGATTATATACGTAGAGCTTAGGGACTGTTGGCAACTACATTGGTTGTCAGCGGATCGAGTATCATCTCCTTGTTTCTCAAGAGGGCGGCTCTGTTAGTTTGAAGCTCGTTAAGCTCATAAGCGCTTGTTAGTTTGAAGCTCGTTAAGTATTTTGTTGTGTTTCTCAAAAAGGAAGATGATAACTACAAGAGGAGGTACACTAGTTTACTGCCTCCTATGGGCTAGGTTGGAGACTCACTAGGTTTGGTCGATTCGATTAGATCGCATAGATGACCCGAGGTAAAACTCGTTAGCTCATTCGTTAAGGTCGTCAAGCTTAACGAGGTGAACTTAGTGATTAGCTCTGTTCATTAAGAACCGAGTTACTGTGATAACGAGCCGAGCTATCGAGTGCTCATTAAGCTTACGAGCTACGAGCTTCTGGTCTAGCCCTGTGAAGATTTCAGTCCAATTTCTTTTTCTTTTGGCAACTTGGTTCTGGAGCGGCGTGATTTTCATCCCCAGGAAAAGGGCTGGACGATCGACGAGACATGATACTTGTGTTAGTTTCTTTCATTTCAAGTGCTACCGCGGTGGCAAATGCTGCTCGCGTGGTTTGAGTGAAGATATGCAGTGCGATCGGTACATAGAGTTCCCAAGTTCCGTGGTAGTAATAACAGGTTAAACTGGCCCGCTCGTCATTGTCAACAATGTACTATAGCAGATAAAACTACTTCTATACATGTCAAACAGAACGGGCACGTCACATTCATCTAGGTTTTTTTTTTGTTTTTAATTATCATCACTTTATCCAGTAGTCCAATGGACTGTGCAGCACCAACCACTGGCGGATCCTTTAGGGACCATACTGGACCATGGCCTGGTCTATCAAATGTGCAAAAAATAATTAGCAGCATGTGCCCATTTGATCCATTCCATCCGAATTGTTTATCTGGGCCAGATAGCAGCTGTCATCAAGTCTCTCCTTGCTACTTTGTGGGCCGATGTTGGCGTTGGTCAATGCCCAGTGACGGTG